CCAAATGCCAGGCGTGGCCTCCTCCACTTACCCAGCATGGACTCCTCATCCGTGGCTCCCTGGAAGAGTGGAAAGGAAACACGAGTCACACGTGTCCAGTGGAACAGAGAGCCAGCTGCTCCCCCATTCAGAAACCGCAGCCTGGTCCCCCACCCCACATTCGAGGCTGCTCTGGAGCATCCCCCCGGCTAAAAGGGGGTGTGTCCTGAGATGCTCTGAAGGGACCCAGGAAGGGAAGAAAGGGGGGGCAGGGAGGGGGAGGCAGGGGGAGGAGAAAAAGGGGAAGTAGAGCTGGGGGGACCCCCTTTATTTGGGGGGGCATTGCGTGCTTGAGCACCGGAGCCTCGCTCGCCCCATTTTCACAAGTAGGGGGACAGGGCTGGCCTGGAGGACGATGGGGAGGTGTGGGGGGACCTGGACGCTTTTCCCAGGCCCTACCCGGAGCAGGGGGGTCTCCCCTTTCCCGAAGCCCCCTCCCCTCCTTTCAGGAGCCCTTCCCAGGACCTACCCGGAATGTCGGCTGCTGGTTCATTTCTGGCTGCTGAAGCTGGCAGACGGATTCACTCCTCTTCGGACTGTGGGGAAGGAGAGAGAAGATGGGGGGAGACCCCCCCTTTTTTGAGGTGAGGGAGGGGCCGGGGGCAGCTCCGGCCAAGGCCCCTTTTTGGGTGGGGGAGGGAGGGGGAGGAAACAGGGGGGCACTGCCCCTCCCCGCCTGCCTTTCCCAGAGATGCCTTGAAATGAAAGAGGTGCCCCTTTCTTTTGTTAGTCTGGAGGGGGGGTCTCCACGGACACCACCACCCCGAGGATCACCTCCCCCCCCCCGTCCGGAGAGGCGCCGTCCCAGCCTCTTCTTCAACGTTTCTGCCAAGGAAAACGGACGGGGGACCCCCGACCGCCTGGGAAGAGTGCGCCCCTGTTGCGCGGATAATACTAATACCAATACCAATAATAATAATAACAAAAACACCTTGGTGGGGTGAATGGAATATACAGCTGGGGATTTAATTTGTTTAAAAGTAATCTACTACTACTACTACTACTAATAATAATAATAATAATAATAATAATAATAAATAGTAATAGTAATAGTAATAATAATAACTTGGGGTGAAAGGCATGAATGAAATATACAGCTGGGGATTTAATTTGTTTAAAAGTACTACTACTACTACTACTACTAATAATAATAATAATAATAGTAATAGTAATAATAAAATAGCAATAGTAATAATAATAACGGGGTGAAAGGCATGAATGGAATATACAGCTGGGGATATAATTTGTTTAAAAGTAACTACTACTACTACTACTACTACTACTACTACTAATAATAATAATAATAATAAATAGCAATAGTAATAATAATAATAATGGGGTGAAAGGCATGAATGGAATATACAGCTGGGGATTTAATTTGTTTAAAAGTAATACTACTACTAATAATAATAATATAATAAATAGTAATAATAATAACGGGGTGAAAGGCATGCATGGAATATATAGCTGGGGATTTAATTTGTTTAAATTTAATGCTACTATTACTACTAATAATAATAAAAATAATAATTAAAAATAGTAACAGTAATAATAATAACTTGGGGTGAAAGGCATGAATGGAATATACAGCTGGAAATTTAATTTGTTTAAAAGTACTACTACTACTACTACTACTACTACTACTAATAATAATAATAATAATAATAATAATAATAATAACAATAATAAAATAGCAATAGTAATAATAATAATAACTTGGGGTGAAAGGCATGAATGGAATATACAGCTGGGGATTTAATTTGTTTAAAAGTACTACTACTACTACTACTACTACTACTACTACTAATAATAATAATAATAATAATAATAAATAGTAGTAATAATAATAATTAATAATAACAACAAAAACAAACAATAATAGTAATAATAACTTGGCGGGGTGAAAGGCATGCATGGAATATACAGCTGGGGATTTAATTTGTTTAAATTTAATACTACTACTACTACTAATAATAAAAATAATAATTAAAAATAGTAACAGTAATAATAATAACTTGGGATGAAAGGCATGCATGGAATATACAGCTGGGGATTTAATTTGTTTAAAAGTAATACTACTGTCAAAGCAAGAAATACTGTATATTCTTGCTTTGACAACTCCCACTACTAATAGTAGTAGTAGTAGCAGCAGCAGTAGTAGTAGTAGTAATAATAATAACAACAAAACAACAAAACAACAACAATACTAATAATACTAATAATACTAATACTAATATTAGTATTAGTATTAATATTAATATTAGTAATAATACTAATACTAATATTAATACTAAAAGCGGGCCTGACCTAGGGAGGATTTTAGGTAGGGATGATTTTAAAATTAATTTTAATGAAACACAGCTGGCAATATTTGGTTTTTAATTCGGCTTTTATTGGGGTTTGTATTTTGTAGTTTTGTATCTTTGTATTTTGCATATAGTATTTGTTTTTAATATGCTGTGAACCGCCCTGAGTCCTATGGGAGAAGGGCGGTATACAAATTAAAATAATAAATAAATAATAAATAAATACTAATACTAATAATACTAATACTAATACTAATAATACTAATACTAATACTAATACTAATACTAATACTAATACTAATACTAATACTAATAATAATAATAATAATAATAATAATAATAATAATAATAATAATAATAATAATAATAATAAAAAATAATGTTGGAAGGGAACTTGGAGGTCATCTAGTCCAACCCCGGGAGGCTTTTTCCCCCCCCTCGGGATTCCTCGCCACTCGGGGAGATCCGGGGAGCGGCTCTCCCGCCCCTCCCTCCCTCCGGCTCAGCGCCTCCCCCTGGACGGACCCCCCCTCCTCCTCCTCCCCCCCTCCTTCTCCCCACCTGCGCTGTTGCTGCTGCTGCTGCTGCGCGCGATCCCCGCCTGGCTCTGGATCTCCCCGGCGCCTCGCAGGATCAGGCGCCTACTGCGGCCGCGGAGCCGCCCCGCTTCTCTTTACTCTCCCCCCGGGCCCGCCCCTCCCTCCCTCCCTCCTTCCTTCCCTCCCCCGAAAGTGAAAGTGCCGCGTTC